CCGCTCTCTCGCTCCCCTCCACGGCCCACCTGCAGAGAGCAAACGCCAAGCAGTGGCGCCCGCATCTCTGCACCGCATCTCTGCACCGCGGCTCTCAGCTCGACGGCCCCACGGCGCAGGAGTCGCACGCCGGCGCCGCAGCCGTCGCGCTCGTCGTCACGCCGAACCACTTGACGGTCGGGCGCAGCCCGACGCCCCCACTTGCACGCTGGCCACGCGAGGTGGTGTGACCCGGGAGGATTGGGCCTGCCTCAGGTCGCGCACGCGGGCGACTGCCGCGCCATCCTTGTCAAGAAGGAAGGGGCGACCCGCTCGTTCGAGGCACCTCCTCCACCTCCTCCACCTCCTCCACCTCCTCCGCCTCCCGTCCTCTCTCGCTCTCGCGCGCGCTCTCTCTCTCTCGCTCTCTCGCACTCTCTCTCTCTCTCTCTCTCTCTCGCTCTCTCGCTCTCTCGCTCTCGCGCACTCTCGCACTCTCTCCCGCCCCTCTCTTCACTACTCCCAGTCCGCTCCCGCTGCAGGCCCTCACGCACGACCACGTGGCCGAGCGGTCGATCTGCGCCGAGGAGGCCGACCGCGTCGAGCGGGTGCGTGCGCCTCCCCCCCTCCCGCCCTCCTCGCCCCTCGCGTGCTGCCTTGCTCAGCACCTCTTGCTCAGCACCTCTTTTGCCGGCGAGCAGGCGGGCGCCTCGAACGTGCCCGGCAGCGTGCGGGTGGGAGAGCACGACTTGCCGATGACACGCGCGTTTGGCAACTTGCGGCTCAAAGTGGCTGCAGGCAGAGACTGGACGCAGGAGGCGGCCAATGCGCAGGTGACGCCGCTGCCAGACCTCTCCACAGCTCACCACACGCGATCGGCACGGCCACGCCGCCACGACCCAAGCAGGTCGTGACGGCGCTGCCGGACGTGTCCGTCTTTGCGCGCGGTCCGGACGATCTCGCCGTCGTGGTCGCCTCGGACGGGCTCTTCGGCGAGGTGAGATGCTACCTAGACACTTCCTAGACACTTCCTAGACATTTCCTCCTCCTCGGACGGGCTCTTCGGCGAGGTGAGATGCCGCCCGGAGTGAGGACTGCCTAGGACGGGCCCCTCACACAAGAACACACCCCCGGACCCAAGACGCACAAGCACAGACAGTCGAGAAGCAGCCGGGCCCTCACACCGCAGCCTCTGGAGGCGGCGAAGTCACCGCCCGCCGACCGTCGGAGACACTACCTAGACACTTCCTAGACATTTCCTCCTCGCCTCCCCAGGTGCTCTCGTCCGAGCACGTTGCCGAGTACACCCGCGCCGCCCTGCAAGAGAACGCTGCGACGGGCGACGCAGAGGGCATGGCTGCGCGCAGGCTGGTGGAGCGCGCCATCCACCACCAGTCGTCGGACAACGTCTCGGTGGCCGTCGCCTCTGGAGGGTCGAGAGCGCGTGACAGGATTGCTCAGCACCGCATCACCGCCTCTCAGGTCGTCGTCGTCTCGCTCGAACCTTCCGAGGGCTCGGCGGTGCCGCCGCAGCTTCGCCACACCTTGCCCCACCGCCAAGCAGCGCTCTGCTTCAACCCGCCTCGCCATGACCAGGCGTCGCCGGACCTCGCGCAGGAGAGTCCGGACTTGCTGCGCGAGGACTCGACGGCGACGCAGTCTTTCTCGCCCGGCCGGCGCGTCGCGTCTAGTCGAACACACCACGTCAAGACTCAGTCCCGCGCTGAGTCTCTAGGACCCCCCCCCCCCTTCTTCTTCCACACACTGCTCCAGCCCCCCTCTCCCGCCTTTCCTTGCTTGGCTCTTGCTCAGCCGTGACACGTCCAACGGCGATCGCCACGCAGGCCGACGGTGCTCGAGAAGCTGTCGCTGCCTTTCGGCGCCGCGCGCCCTATTGAGTCGCGCCCGCCTAATGGAGCCCTTATGACACGCCCCCACGCCGCGTCCCCGCAGGCGAAGCCTATCCGGAGGAAGTGCGGGCGAGACGCTCGCTGTCCCCCGAGGAGGAGCGATCGTGAGGCGGAGGTTGCTCGGCTCTGAAGAGAGCGCGAGCGCTTACGAGGACCCGTCGGAGGGAGTCGGCGCGGCGAAGGGGGGGGGCGCAACCTTCTACTTTGGGTGTGGTGGGCCACCAGTGGTGCGCACAGTCCAGTCTGTGCGCACAGTCCAGTCTGTGCCCGCCTTTGCCGCCGCGGAGAGAGAGAGAGAGAGGAGCGGAGCCGGAGGGTCTGCTTGTGCAGGTTTGTGCCGGCCCCGTCCGAGCTTGCTGCGATGGACGAGGGCGCACAGGGGGCACTTAGCGTACTGACGTACAGGGTTAGGTCGCTCGCGGGCGGTCGCCGCCCCGCGTTGCGCTCACAAAAGCATGGGTGAACCCAGGGGGTGAACACGATTTCTCTTCTCCTACACATCCTAAATAAATACAAAAATGGACTACGGGGTGTGGAGGGTGAGTTGAACAGGGGTTGTGCGCCAAGCCCTCCTGCTCGGCTCCAGCCGGTAGACAAGTCTTGTCATCAACAGAGTAGATGGATCTGACCTCGGGGCCGATGTGACCAAGCGCTGGTAGCGTGGTTTCACCTCACACCCATGGTCTCACAGTGTGCCGGCAGTCGCCGAGCAGTGTCGCTCACACAAGCCGCAGCACAAGTGACTGAGGGCCAGTGAGGGCGAGCCCATCGCTGTCACAGCTGTGGCAGCCGCACAGTAGGCTGTGTCAGCTGTGCAGAGTGTGTGAGCAGCAGAGGAGCTGCTCTCCAGGCTTCTGTCGCAAAGAGCTGCATGCCACCGAAAGCGCTGTCGAGGTTCGCCGAGCGCGGCGCAGGTTGAGGGACACCGTCACCGACGAGCGCGTTGGACTTTTCACTCCGGACAAAGACCGCTGCACAGCGGACGGTACGGGCCGTGCAGCGGTCATAGCGGCGAGGCGCGGGACCGTCTGTGGCGAGGTGGGTCGCGTCCCTCGATTTTGTTCAACCCAGCATCCACACGGCCGGCGGACCTATTTTCGTCCAAGCTCCCCCCCCCGGAGGGGGGGGAAGCTTCCCCCCCGGAGGGGGGGAAGGGGGGGAAGCTTCCCCCCCGGAGGGGGGGAAGGGGGGGGAAAGGGGGGGGAATGGGGAGGGGCATGAGGCTGCACCCATGCCCCTTGTCAGGATTAGAGGAGAATTGACGATTATGAGAAACAAAACCCCCTTGAGCACATCTAAGGCGCCCTCATCGCCTA